TGCCAAGCGTGCCTAGGGGGGAGGGCGCGCCCCCTATCTCCTGGCCACCTCGGGCACCGTTTCGCGTTGATTCTTCCTCCGGAAAATCCCAAATATTCCAAAATAATTCTCCGTCCGTTTTTATCCCGTTTGGATTCTGTTTGATATTGGGTTTCTGCGAAACATAAAACATGCAACAAACAGGAACTGGCACTGGCCACTGGATCAATATGTTAGTCCCAAAAATAGTATAAAAAGTTGCCAAAATTATATGAAAGTTGAAGAATATTGGCATGGAATAATAAAAAATTATCGATACGACGGAGACGTATCACATTGCTATTGGGATCTTGCTTGTTGCACCATGTAAACTTTGGACCCAAGTACCCCAAATCACTTAGGCCACAGTCCAGGAGACACTCCCGAAAAGCAGCCATTTGCGAATCCAGATGGTCTCGAGGACCAAAGTGTTCCTCCTGAAGAAGGACTTCGTTGAAATCCCCACAACAAATCCAAGGACCCGACCAGGAAGGCTGCATTCATCGAAGGAGCTCCCAAAAGTGACACCGATGCTCTTGCTTTGGATCTCCATAGACAAAAGAAGCCCTCCATGGCACTCCTTCCCCCAGTTGGACCGTGACATCAATGCATCGCTTATTTGCAGCCCTGACAGTCACCGTTGCCGAATGTGACCAAAAAAGAGCCAAGCCCCTGCTAAGACCCTCGCTGCTGACAGCAAAACAACCAGAATAACCCAGAGACCACATAAAGTTCTTCACTCTCGAATCCCTCACCTTTGTCTCGGAGAGAAAGAGGAGGGAGGGTCGGTATAGCTTCACAAGCCACCGAAGCTCGCCAACTGTCGAGTCCAACCCCAGGCCTCGACAGTTCCAGCAGATAATACTCATTGCGTCTGGCGGGGCTGCATCGCAGCCTCCGCTGGATCCGCCGATCGAGGGTCTGATGTATGTTGTTTCTTGTTGGACTCCTTGTCAGTCACTTGCTCCACATCAGAAACAACAGGTAAATGATCCATAGACAGGACCATAGCAAGAGCATTGGGATCGGCAGGAACATGATCTTGGGTTGAAGCCATTGGGAGTGTTTTAGCCGATTTCCTTTTCTGCCCCGAGGATCCATTCTTCTCTTGACCACCCTGAAACAGCTCCCTGTCAGTGGCACTTGACCTCCCCCTTCCACGGCCACGGGAGGAGGGTGCCTGCCCACGGCCCCGTCCAGCTCGGTTATGAGGAGAGGAAACCTCAATGTCCACCACATCGGAGGCCCAAGTCACCCCCGGCGCAGCACGCCCTGAAAAGGCCGAGCAAGAGCCGCCTGATTTGTCCTCCATCCCGGCAGTGGAAGAGGCAGACGAAGATCTCGAACCAGCAGACTTTTTGTGACTCTCCTCAGGTACGCAGAGCTTCTTTGCCACATATGGTAAATCTCCATTCTCACCCCTTAGGCCCGGGTTTGGGCATAGGACCGAAGAGTGACCCAAAATCCCACACGAGAAGCAATGAAAGGGCAGCCTCTCGTACATCACAGAATAGGTATCTGCGGACTGGAGCCTGACCGAAGTGATTGTCACATAGCGGACAAGTGGTTCCCTGACGGCAATCTCAACCCTAACCCGCATGTGACCTCCCCAACAGTGCCCATCCACATCAGCATCAATCTTAACAATGTCACCAATGGGCTTGCCAAATTCTATTTCAAGTTTAGCCTTCATCAACCATGGCGGCAGATTCATAATGCGGACCCATATGGCCAAGCAATCAAAGTGGACTTGAAGAGGTTGGGTGTTCAGATCAAACAGCTTGAGAAAAACAGCATGCTTACCCACCATCCACGACGAGCCGTAGATCACCCTGGCCCTGTCTGCCTGGGTACCAAATTCAGCGACAAAAACGTTGTTGCCCGAGGGGTGGAGCAACAAGCCCCTAGGATTTACCCCAAGCTGGTCTCATGGCCGAGGATATCGTCTGGATATGGAGGGTGTTGGGGATAGAACCTTTCCCACTAGGGCACAATCTGGGGCAACCAGATCGGCCTCATCCTCATCGTCCAGAACCACAGGCGCCGCCTCGACCACCGTGAGCCGAAGCCGTTCCATCAAGTCCTCCACTCGATCGGCCGCGCGATCTGTCGAGGAAGAACCGCCCGCCATCGGGGCCAGGTTTGAAAATGCCGCCACCCCCTCGACGTCGGAGAGCGCCGGGGCCGGGAGGCCACCGCCCATGTCCAGCGCATGTTGTTTGCCCCCAAAGGCATCCGATCCTCCCGCTTCACTAGCCCCCGCCATGAGGAGTCGGCAGAGCCCTAGACCAGCCCCTGCCAAGGGTGGGTAGCAATACAGAGAGAGCCCCTTGATCACCCCGAGCAGGAAACCGGATAAGGACGTCCGCGAGCACCTAGGAAGGCAGAGGGACAGCCGGAATTGGGAGAGAAGAAGATGAATTCGTGAATCAATCAGGGATCCACAGGGCGCTCAAACCCTAGGAACCGCTATTCGCCCCTGCACCGCGAGAGCCCAGGAGAGAGAACATCGTGGTTGCCGTTGGGCTGGTTGTCTGGTTGTTTCCCCAGCGTTCTTTATGTCTTCTGCTTTTAGTATCTTCTAGCTCAATCTTTGAGCGATGGGTCTAGCTAATAGGGTTGCGTCCGCCTCCCCCCCCCCACACACACACATGCCACATATGGCGGTCGTTTCTTTTGTTAGTGTTATCTCTAGCAGCGATAGTTGGTACCCTGAACTAATGTTGAATGAGCTAGCGCATCTTTGCGCTAAACAATGTAGTGCTTCTAGGAGGCGATGCTTATGGATTAATTATATTTCTACCTTCCTCGCGGCTTGTGTGCGGAAGGAGTGTAATCCTGCCGATTGATTAATATAGCTCATGATTCTCAAAAAAAAAGAACTAATGTTGGATGATGTTTCTCTTTGGTTGGTTTCGTTAATGAAACCGGAGGGAACCCCTTCTTTTGTTGATAATAATAATACTCCATAAAAAACACTCGTACGGTGTCACGCTGCGGTTTGGAACTGGCGATTCATGTGATTCTCTCTGCACGTCGCCGATGGAAGTTGATCAGCACGCAGCGGCAACGGAAAAGGTCCATTTTAAACCCCGAATTTGTAGGTGTTCGGCGAAATGAACCCCCAAGTCGAAATCTCGGTTGATTGCACCCTGAACTATGCAATCCTGGTCTAAATTAAACCCTGGCTACAGTTAACCGGGATTTGTCTAGCTGATGGGCCAGGAGCGGCATGTCACCATCTCAACGCACACGCTTGATGCATGACTGGGCCGGCCCACCAACCCGCCCGTTGTTTCGTTTCATTTTCCGCGCGACAAAAAAATGTTGAAATTCAACAGCGAGTACCAGGACTCAATCCCACGACCGTGGAGACCAACCAAGAGCCATTAGCCACTACACCACGAACATGACGGTGCAGAAATATATAAGAATAGACAGCAACTTTGAGATTGGAAAACATTTCTTGAAAATTGCGAGCAGTTTTAAGATGCCGCATTTTTTTGTATTCCATATTTTTGGAAAAGTGAAGGTGTTTTGTAATTCTTATTTCAAAATGAAACACGAACAAAATTTGCAAACCCCAAACAGATTCCAAAAACGCGAACAATTTTAAAAAAAATCTGAAAAACAAACAAATTACGAAAAACATGAACACTTTTTGAGATTGTGAACAGTTTTTTGTATTTTTAGAAAATATATAACAGGAATGTTTTTAATTTAGCGACAAAAAAGTTAAAAAAAACGTTTTTAAAAAAGCGCACAAAATTTGTATTGTACGCATTTTGGACACGCGAACAAAAATGAAAAGGTGGTGGAACATAATTCAAACTCGCGGAAAATATATGATAGCATTTTTGAAAATATATTAGTAAATGAACAGTTTTCTAATATATGTTGAACAAATTCGGAATAAATATTCAACAATTGTGCGATATACACTGAACAAATTTCTAATACAAGATGAACATTTTTTTAAATGAGTGAAATTTTTGGAAATTACTGTGAAGATTTCCTTAATATACGCAACGAACTTTGTATATATACATGAAAACGAAAAAAATATATTAAAGAAAAAAATGCACGAACACTTTTTCAATTTTACAGTTTCCTTTTCAAAATCTATGAATTTTTTCCCCAAATCCGTGGACTTTTCTTTTGAAAACCCGTGAACTTCTTTCAAAATTGTTGAACTTTTTCTAACGTGATATTTTTCAAAATTTGTAAACTATTTTTATTTTTGAAATTCTAGTTCACAAGTTTCTTTTTTTTTCGGTCAAACAGCAGCAGCATGGTGTCTCGTGTTCGAGCAGAGTTTTTTTTTTTTTTTGCTTTTTAACGAAAAAAAAATCAGAGTTTAAAATGGACTCCCAGGATTCATTTCGCCAGAGTCAAACAGCAACAGCAGCAGCATGTTTAAAATGGACTCCCCCAAGAATTTCGACTTGGAGGTTCATTTCGCCGAACCTCTACAAATTCAGAGTTTAAAATGGATTTTTTCCCAGCGGCTAACAGCCAGGAACGCCCGGCTGGTCGAAACCCTGCGGAATTGTCACGCGACCCGTCGAGGCGTCGACCGCCATTCCTACCCCCTCTTCTTACAATTGAGAGCAGGTGATCGGGCGTTCCACTGCATGGTACGAGGCCGTTACCGTGCGTAGTGCCCTCAATCTTGTAGAACCTGCCCAGGGGCGAAGGGGAAATTGAGGATCGCAAATGCTCAGGATCGAAGTACAACCAACAAACAATCGCTATTCTCAGGATCAAACTGACGACATGTAGAAACTGGGAAACTGCAAATTCATTTCAGAGTTAGAGCTGGATACATCTGATACCTGAACATTCCAGACACTAAACACCACCAGCGATACATAGAACCTGCCTAGCAGAACCGAAACCTAAATCAGGGAGGATGAGGCATCCTTTTGTACAGACCGAGAACACCAACGCACACCTAAAACCACCTATCAGATCAGATCAGATCAAGCGGCGGCGACCTTGCGGCCCTTCTTGGCGGCCGGGGAGCGGACGGTCTTCGGCTTTGCCTTGGCCTTGGCCGCAGGCGACTTCTTGGCCTTGGCGACCAGCGTCTTCTTCTCGGGCGCCTTGCGCTTCGTGCCAGCGGCGGCGGCGGCCTTCTTGGGCTTCACGGCCGCTTTCTTCTTGGGCTTGGCGGCGTCCTTGGCGGGCTTCGCCGCGGCCTTGGGGGCGGCGGGCTTGGCCTTGGGCGCGTCCTCCTTGGCGGCGTCTGAGAGCTTGTAGGAGGCCTTGACCTTGACGAGCTTGCCCTTGGAGGCGGACGCGCGGAGCTGGACGGAGAGCATCTTCTTGAAGTTGGCCGGGAGGGCCTTGCCGTGCTTCTCCTCGATGTACTTGGCGATGGCGACCGAGCTCGACCCGGTCCTGTCCTTGAGCGCCGCGATCGCCTCCTTGATCATCTGCGCAAGATCGAAATCAAAATCCAATCAGCCCCAATCGCAGTCAAAACCACTGAATCACAGGGGAACACGGGGGGAGGTTCAAACGCTCACCTCGAAGTAGGTCGGGTGGGAGGCGCCAGCGGCGGCCGCCTTCGGCTTGGCGGCGGAGGGCTTCGGCGCTGAGGCGGCGGGCTTGGCCAAGGCAGTCATGGTGGCTAATCGAAGAAAATATCTGAAAGGGAAACTGCTATGCGTGCGGTGTGCTCTGTTCGCTTGCGGCTTCAGAAAAGAGCTCGAGAGGTGGGATGGATTCGAGAGAACCGGGTGGAGGCCCATATTTATAGTCATGGAGGGGAGCGATCCGGGAGGGTGGCAATGCTGCGATCTCACTGGCTGGAGTGTTAGTGCCGCGGATTGTGACGAGGGAGAGAAGGGGCGGGCGAATGCTCAATTACTCCCGCGTGACTGGGTGAAAATTAGAAGGGAGGCTCTATTTGTCAGGAGCCTGAAAAATAAAACAGTTGCATCAGTCGCTTTTTATACGAATTGTCAGATCTTGATCCAATGGTTCAAAATAAATCGTGCTACTGTTCATCATCTTCTTCCCTTCCGTCTTCCTCCTCCCGGTCCCCCAGCCTACCCCGCCCTAATCATCGGTCTCCATCA